AAAACTTTTTTGTAGTCCGCCACTGACTTTGACCGAACGAATTTTTGAATTTGCTGTTCAATCTAAGAATTTTCTGATCTCTTGCAGTTTTCTTCTATCTGTCTTCGTTTTTGAGTTTGATTGACAATTGACAATTTTTGAATTGACAAATATAAGTCCATATAGGGTTTTTGGGTGATTTACCATAAATTTTCGTATAAATTTTTTTGCGTACTTTTGTTCATATTTTTTTGTCACTTTCTCTATTTATCCATGGTTCCCGGAGAGTTAAATAATTACGAAGCAACAGGTATTTACGTAATGTTAATTAGGCAGATTACCTTGAAAACCATTGTTGCCGTTTTTCTAATATAGTTTTCTTGCAAATTTCTCAATTTTTTATAGCAATTTATTTGTTTACTACTTTTTCTGTACTCCTAAAACACCGTCAGAGGAATTTAAAATTATCCAACGAACAATACACAAATTAATTTAAAATCGAGCAGACTGAGGCAGGCCTTAAACTGTTCGTCACCTTGTTACAGAGTATGTTAAAAAAAACCTGGGTCAACATAGTAATTCACATTGATAGAGAGAAATTAAACCTTTTATGATTCGCCGGTGACATCGTCTTAATAACAGACAACATGCGAGAAGCACAGACTATGCTGCAAAACCTTTATGAGACGGCAGAAAGGGTAGGGCTAGAAATAAATATTTCAAAAACCCAGTATATGACCATTCTGATCTTGAGTGATTCGACCAAAATTAACAACAATAACATAGAACAAGTAGGTCTATACGAATACCTGGGACACAAGGTAAGTATTGGAAGAGACAATTAAACCCACGAAATAAAGCGTGGAAGAGGGCAGCTTATGGAAAATTAAGAACAGTTTTCCGAACCAGTCTTCCAAAGGGTTTAAAACGGAAGATATTTGACCAATGCGTTCTTCCGGTTTAAACATATGGCTCAGAGACATTAGCAATGACCAAGAACTACATTCAGAAAATACAAGTCATGAAACGTAAAATGGAGAGATCAATGCTGGGAATTACCCTCCGAGATAGAATCCCAAATAAAACTGTCAAACACAACACAGGAGTAAGATCTAAGTTAACACTTAGATCACTCAATAACCGGTTTAAGCACTTTAACCCGAATATCTTGCGTAAGTGTATAATAAATTAATAGACAAATAGCTGAACTGTCCTGGAAACAAAGGCGTAATTTCTGATAAAACAAAAATAATTTTCTGGGCAAAAAGAATTTCAGTTTACTCCCAACTGTTATGCCAAATTTAAAATTTAATTGAATTATTATTATTAATATTATTAGATATGCTGCATTTTGCAAATAACCATAATAGTGATGTAATGTATAGTGTTATAAAATTTTACTGGAATTTTCTGTGACCGATTTGCAAAAAACACTCAGTAATCATCCGCGATGATGGCTAAAATATAGCCGAACCAAGAAAAACTCAAGGTGAGCTCCTGCTATAAATGAACAAATAAATTTTAAAATACTACACTTTAGAAGCTCACCCGGTATAGTGTATTGAATGTGCGTTTCATAAATCATTAAATACATAATTTTTACAATAAAATTCCTGAATTATTCTACGGTTCATGTTACGACTCTGACTTACTTCGGTCGGCTTAGAATTTTCATAAATCCTACATCCAGTCCGCTTCCTGTTAATATTATTTGTAGTTCGTGTGAGTTTTGCCTCGTTTGAGAATAAATTATTGTTTGGAAAGTTTTCTTCAACATTTGAATCGATAATTATTAATAAAGTGCCTCTGGCTCGTGCAACGCAGCATTGTTTCGAACACCTAGAAATACCAGTCGTAAAAAGCGTTTTATGTTTTATTTAAATAAAATAAAGATTTAAAGTGAACAGTACGCGATCGAAGTAAAATTTCAACTTGAATTATTAAAGTTCATGTAAATACAGTTGCATTATTGTAATTAATCGCACTTTAAAATAATGCACTAGTATTAGAAACTATTTTCTTACAATCAGCACAGTCACAGTTTTCTATTCACTGACCATTTGGCAGATAATGAGACAACAAAATTAAATTTAATAAAGTAATAGTTATCAAAACATCATTTAATTGAACGCATAGAAAGCCTGACAAAATGAACACGTATGTATGGGCACTGAGAGTAACTAAACATTATATTTACAACAATATGATTATTATTGTTGGTTTATTTTCAACGCTTTCCTCTAAATAGGAAGTTAAAACAATGAAAACAGCTTGTAAATAAAAGTGCTGTGCCGTGCCATTAACAAATTGTTAGAGGCATATAGAAAGTAATAGCTAAATGACCCTATAGCCGTTTTTACTAAAATTATCTGCACCATTAATGGCTTGAACTAAATAGATGCGGGTATTATTATTTCTTCCATATTATCAATATTTGTAAAATATAATTTATTGTGTGCTTGCCAAGGAATTTCAGAAGAATTATCTACTATACTCGGTTAGTGATAATTCTCTTATTATTATTGTGATAAATGATCATTGTTTGCGTACAAGTTAACCATAAATTAAGTTTCTTTCGAAATTGCAAATAAATTGGAAGTAAAATATGTGCTAAATGTACTGACCAGACAACGTTTGGAGATACAAAAGTATGCTTATTTCAATATGTGTCTTAACGATATCAACTCTATTTAGAAATAGGGCTTTTTAGAACAGTTTTGCTTTCTGAAATTTACAGCATATATTCTAGTGACTTTAGACAAAACTTTATCTGAAACAAAAATGTTTTCTGAAACATCATTACTTGCTTGGCTTTAGCGGTATATTGATGGTAAAAGTCAACAGATGTTGGTCTACTTTGTATTGTTTCAGCTATGTTGATCTGAGTAAAAACTTATTTCTGATATTCGAACTTGGCCTGTTTTACTATTGAATATATGTTGGCGCTTTAAGAACGAGGTCGTGATTTTGCGTGTTAAAACTGCAGGATAACCTCCAGTTGAAGCGTTACTTCGTGCCCCTGCGAACCAACTAACCTGTAGTTTGGAAGAAATTGATTTGTAGTTCATTGGAAATATTACCATTTTTATTATAGACCTCGTTTCGAATCCGCGATTTTAGCTAAGTGACCATATGGGACGCCTGAAAATTGATGTAGTCCCATTATGCTTTTAAACTTGGTGCGTTAAACTGTGGGTTAAGTCAGCCCTTTCAGACAAGAATAGAACAAGCAATGAAAATTTAGCGAATGTCACACAAGTGAACAATAGAGCAAATTCTAGATAATTAAAACAATAACTTGAATTAAAACCATTACAGTAAAAAGTAAAATAAATTAAATTGCTTAATAACTATATGCAGGGTGATTTAAAATTGGTGTCATTACTCTGGAGGTGTTGTTTGGCTGTGTTTTAGAAGTACAGAAAAAATGGTAAAAAAATTAATTGTTATTAAAAACTGAGAAATTTGCAAAAAAATATAGAAAATTATATTAGTTGCTGCGTAACTATTTAAAACCCCGGTAACCATGGATAAATAGAGAAACTGAAAATAAGGAAGACAAGGATAAACGATAATCTCAACAGGAATCGTTGAACGAGGGAACCTATTTCGAAACTCATAACCTCGAAATATTAATTTGTTTACAAATTATAAAAACATACATTACAACAGGTGCCTGTGTAATACTTATTATGCACTTTTCTCGAGCAACTTCTCGTATTCGGTTAATTAACTCCTACTCAATTTATACCGGTGTTCAACCCATTGGTTTAATGTGAATATTACGTACGTGGTAGCAATATATTGAAAACGTTATCGAAACGTTCAAGTGGATTATAGAGCATGTCTCGCGTTAAGCACAGATAATATACAAACAAAATCAGTGATTTTAATGATTTTGTTTTTATTTATTTATTTGTTTTGACATTTATAGCAGCAATAAATTCCGCATTCCAGCAAAAAAAAGCGTCATTTCAGCTCACTTTAGTTTGTTGCTATTTAAAATTTATAAAACATAATACAGAAGAAACGGCTATTACAAATCTAGTCAATATACATATTTTTGGAATCAGGAAAAAATTCGAATCTACTTGTCTAAAAATATATAGGGTGTTTTATTAAAAAAATACTTCATGTCCATTTCCGTGCTTTATATATTGATTTTAAATTCAGATTTAAGAAAATTGAGTAAAATTGAACAACTGTACCTGTATACAGATAAAGAAGCAAAATTTAAGTTTTCCTCCAAAGGCAAAATTACTTCAAAGGGAATAATATTAAATCTGTAATATTTTGATGAAGAAATTTCAACTTACATCAGTTGACAATTTTCAGAGACCAACTTGTCTTAACGTCAGGTTTATTAATAAAACAAGCTAAAGGTTATAAAGACGTCTGAAGATACCATTAAAACAAAAAAAAAAAAACGAGAAACATTATCCGTGCAATTTATAAACTAACGACTTGATAGTAATTTTTAAAATTGCTGTCAGCTGTTTAATGTGTAAGCGCTGTCAAAGCTACATTGTATATTAAGCAATTGGTTTATAATAATTATATTCATTGAGATAACGGCTTTTTTACTGCTAATTAAGCCTATAATAAAGAACTACCCATCAACATTTTAAGGGCTAAACTGGGACAAAATGTTTTTTTTTATTGAAATGACTGGAAGCATCTTGAGCACGACTCTATTTGTTTGTAAACGAGTTCACAAGTTGATTGATAATATTGCAACTGACAGTCTCACGTAAAACGCCATGTTCAACCAAGCTGAAAATTCATTTACTATGCTCAGATTATTATCTGCCTAATGAAATACGGTAACAAGTTAGATGAAAACTGTGCTTTCCGCATTTGCCTTCGAAAATAATAAGTAAGTAAGTGAAATTAGTCGCTAAAGACAAATGTTTAATGGATACTAATTTTGCCATCAACAAGTGTAAACGTTAATGCTATAGGAGATATAAGGATTCAAGATGAAGAACCTTGCAAGACGAGCCATTGTAAATAAGGACTGTCAACAGCAGCCATGTATGTTTACCTTCGAGGATAATAAATCAAACTCTGACGTTTGTAATGCTTTCAGCAAATAGTGGTAATTACGCTTAATTACTCTACTATAACGCATCCTCCGAGACGAGATAAAACGATATATTTGGGGCAATGCGAGGAACAAGAAAATCAGCTTTGCTGCCGATCGCTTCACTTGTGTCAGCTCAAAATCAAGCTATATTGGCTTGTAATACTTTGTCAGACAATAATAAATAGGTGTATCAGGAGTGATAATTTTGTTCTGAAATATTGCATGTTATGTATTCAGACAAATTATTTTACAAAATCTTATTTTTTTCTTTGTCAATACGGTAACTTCTCAAATGGTTATGCTTTATTGCAAACATTATCAAACGTGGAGTGTTTGTCAAACTGTCTCAGAAAGGCAAGTAGCTTAAAAATAATATACCTACTTCCGGTCGCGCCACATGAACTGCAGAAACAGCATTGATGATGACTAGATAAAAGAACGCAGAAGAATTTTAAACCGTCACTATCACCAGGTGTCCAACTTTTTTGACGGGTATTTAAATTTTTAATTTTAGTCGGTTTTTGCAGGCCATTTTTCCCACCTGGGGGCAAATGGGCCCAACCTAAACTACATCGGAAATAAATGTTTCCTTCTCCAAAAATGGTCCAACTCGATATCTGACTTTGCGTGCTTTTTGGTGATTTCATTTTAGTTTCCTTCTTGGCGAGAAATAAATGGCAGTGGAAAGTCTTGAACTGCTGGGCGCTGAATCGTACCAGGGCTCCTCTAATATATCGCCAATATTATGGCCGCTCTTTTTTTTCTATCACTCACTATATTTTTCGACAAATGCACTTAAAGAAGCTGTTGTTAGAGCATTTGAAAATATTGATGGTCAGCCCGCAAGAAAAGCAACTTATTCAGTTTTAAAGCGTTGTAATGTTTACATTGATAATATCGGCACACTTTTTCAAAATGTTTTACAATAAAAATTAAAGTTTCTAGAGTTAAATTTTAATTGTTATTGCTATGATTTCATTTTTATAATAACCGCTTTAAATGAGAAGCCCTCTTAATTAAAATAAAGTTATTGCCAACTTTAACGCCGTCGTCAAAATAATTACTGAAGCATACTGTTATTATTTGTTACTATGGAAACAATGTCTTATACTATTTTCCATGGCTAACTTCGATCAACTAAATCGAAGCGTTAAGAGCAAAAGTGGTTCAAGCCCAAAATTGTTCTTATGGAAATAACAGTAAGAAAAAAATATTTAAATTATAAAAGATTAACTACATGATTATTAAAGGCACTTTAAAAAGAAAAAAAATATTTGCACAAGTTTTTTTTTCATAAACCTCGAAATAAAAAGAAATTGGTTTACAAAATTATTTATTTTTATTTGTACAGGGTTATTGATTGAACTTTGGCCACCCCGTTTTTGCATCTAATTTGAAATTTAGAGACAAATGTTAAATGGAAAAGATGTAGATACTACCGTCTAGTTTATTGTAAGATAATACCAATTTATACAGGGTGTCTTAAACTCAAGTGACGGTACAAACTTACTTTTTTTCAATGGAATTGCGCATTTTTCATTTCATATTCCAACTATACGCAAAATTCCAGTCCCCCTGGATATAAATTTTCTATGTTGATCTTCAATTGTTTTTAAATCAATAACAATTTAAATATTCGAGCATTACGTTTATAAAAATTTCAGTTATAAACAATTGTTATTATCTTAAAATAAACTAGATGTCAATATCTACAAGTTTTGCATATAATACTTTGCTCTAAATTTCAAATTAGCTGCAAAAACGGAGTGGCCAAAGTTCGATAAATATTAGTAATTAACTCAAAAAGAGTTGAAAATCACTACAGAACATTTATATGGAATAGGCTTAGAATTGTGCGAATAGTTCGAATATGCAATAAAAAGTACGGCATTCTATTAAAAAAAAAGGTAAGTTTGGTCGGCCACTTGAATTTGAGACACCCTGTATCAATAGGTATTATCTTAAAATAAACTAGACGTTAGTATCTACAACTTTTGTATTTAACATTTTTCTCTAAATTTCAAATTAGATGCTAAAACGGGGTGGCCAAAGTTCAATCAATATTGGTTATTAACTCAAAACCAGTTGAAAACCATTATAGACCATTTATATCGAGTAGGCCTAGAATTGTGCGAATAGTTCGAATATGCAATAAAAAGTACGGCATTCTATTAAAAAAAAAGGTAAGTTTGGTCTGCTACTTGAATTTGAGACACCCTGTATCAATTGGTGTTATCTTAAAATAAACTTAGTTAGTATCTACAACTTTTATATTTAACTTTTTTCTCTAAATTTCAAATTAGATGTAAAAACGGGGTGGCCAATGTTAAATCAATAACCCTGTACATAACATATTTTTAAAGAACAGAACTTCATTTAAACTGATATATCAAGTCTTCTTCCCTGTGAAATTCTTCAAAAACGTTGTGGTCTTCTTCTACACGTTGACAGTGGACCAGTTGACGATAAAAAGTCATGATGGACTGGTGGAACATAGTCTAGCAAAGTAAGCAAGTCTTAGTATTTCTTTTCTTGTATAGGCGTAGGCCTCTCAAAGGAAGAAGTTTCGCCGATTCTTGAAAAGTTTGACAGCTTCGTTTTTTTACATTAACTTTGGAAAATAGAACATTTTTGTTGTTGGAAGACTTATACCCAACAATATCAGGATTTTCTTTATTATACCGAAGCCACTGTATACGCAACCACTCTACTTTTTCACCAGCTTCAATTTTTTTCCGGTATGTTAATGCTCTCTCCAGTTTTTTTGTCGAGAAAAAGTTGCTAGATTTTATAACCACTACTCTAAATCGATTTTGTTTTTTGGTTTCAAGAACTACTTGCACCCAATCACTAGGAGCAAAAATATGTTTGTAGTGTTTCTTGTTTTTTTCAATCAGACCGAAGTCTTGATCATTCGGAAGATAAGAATGACCAGACACTAAAAAATTATGGTCAATAGTTTCAAGTTTGAAGTCGCTGGATAAGGTAATGTAAGTGCAAAGGACCGCTATTTTAAAATTTCTATTTTGACCACCACACTGATCGCTGTACATTATTAACTTTCTTGTGTTAACAAAGGTCTTAATATAGTGAATAATACAGGAACCAATTTCCTGGGGACCCCGGGATGCAACGCCTTCATCCCACATGTACATGTGTACTACGCCAGTTTGAAGATCATGAATTCTGAAACAAAATGTCCAAAGTTGCTTTTGTAGTACGCAACTCCTGTTGAAGTAATCGGCGTGGCCAAAGTTTCCATTAGGTCAAAAGAAATTACTGTGAGATTATTATCTGATTTTGCAGCTTCGGCATCGTTCCTCATGCCTTGTCTAGCAGCTTCAGCGTATCTCTGATGCAACTCTTGGTCCACTTTAATTTTTTCACATTCTTGGCCATCTGCCATGGCTGCCTTAATTTTGATATTAAATGTATCACATTTGCGACAACTGTCGGATACTGGTGCATGGAACTTTAAATTAAAATCGTTTTTAAATATTTGACGAAAAATGAACATTGACACTGTATGTTGAGTTTCACCTTTGTACAAATTGTACATTTTGGTTATGTCTAGTTCTGGACAAAGATACTTGACATTTGGGTTTTTTGTAACGAATAATGTGACCTGATAACCCGGAAATTTATTAATAAAAGTCTTCACATCAGTTACTTTTTCCAGAGAGGTTTTTCTGACACAATTCTTTCAATTTGTCGAAATAAACAGCGAGCAAAAAGGAACTACAAGCACGCGACAAATGCGTCGTAACGTGTGTTGGGCCAGTCTTACTTTGGAAAATGGGAACTGGCTGCAAATGTAAAAGTGAGTTTCGCTGACATCTTGTGGTGGAATGAGCAAGCTGGGCTCATGATGATGATGATGATGAAAGTTGAGTTACAAACAAAGTACAACAAAAGTTATACACTTCTTGGTAAAACAGTAAAGTTATGTAACAATAAAAAATTTGTTTTAAATTAGCAATCCGTTTGCAAACTTAAGCAATAGTAAACATTTTTTTAGGTCAGAGCCATAATCTGTTTAATGTTTTTAATATTTGGTATTAACATTTTGAGGTATTTGTATCTCGCTCGCTAATATGAGCGGCGATGTGTCTTTGTCATGGTTTCGTATCGCAACATGGTGCGAGCCAACTTTTTTTGGCCACACTTGTTTGGATGAAAGGGACAAAAATCCACCTATGGGAAGAGAACCAATGAGGGCTATCGGTTCCGAACCATTGCCCGGCAATCAGTAACATGTTTCCTGGTTGCAACGATTGCCACGAAAAGAGACCATCTTGACTTCGTGCTTCTGCGGATCTAGATTTTTCCACCCGGTTGGATTTTCCCAAAAATTTTCTCAGCTGCCAGGTCCTCGACTAGATACAGAGCATTTAGACTGACGATTAACATGCCCAAGCATGTTGTTTCAAAGCGTAAATAGCTCAGACCACGATTGATTAAAATATGTGGGCTTAGTTGGCGGAGAGCAAAACTTACAATGAGCAACAAACTATTATTAAACCAAGTTGGACTTATGGGGTCCAATTGTGGGACTTATCTCCCGAACCTATCCTCGATAGACTCCAGATATATTAAAACGCAGTGATGCGAATAATTATTAATGGTCCACACATGCCCAACTTTGTCACTTCTGTGCCGTCTATTGCAGCTTCAATTAGGCCACATAGCGAAAGGCACTGAAATAACTATCCGAAACAGCCCGATATAAAACTCTACATATTTCATCCATTTTGCAGAAACTGTATCGATTTGGATTTGGGTAAGCAATTGATTTTTGAATATTTCATGTCACATTGTTCAGAGTTAAAATATTGGCATCTTGTCTGCATTGCTAGATTTCTTTATACTCACGGGTTTTAAAAGGCTGTTGATAACATAAAAAACGAAATTAAATTCTTAATATATATCTATGTTTTAATATGTTTTTTGCTAATTCATGCCTTCTAGATATACGTAATCCACGGAAGTACTTATGTACCAAGTTTCTTGAAATTCATATATATATATATATATATCAAATCGTTGTTTTCTTTATAATCATATAATCAGAAAGATAGCATTCCATTCGAAACGTATCATTAATTCTGTTTATTTTGCCGGTATCTGAAAAAGCTCCTTCATAAGGCCAGCTGTAAAACCAGACAAACGTTCATGCTAAAGCAAACAGTAAAAGGG